AAAAAAAAAAAAAAGTAGAACAGGGGATAAGAAAGCAAAGGATCCAGGCTATCGGCACTATTAACTCAGGACTCAGACATCGAGGGGCCAGTCCCACCCACAGACAAGAAGGTGGCAGCCTGGGAGGGATGGGCAGGTCAGGATGGGATTACCCAGGGGTATGGAAGGGAAGTGTAGCCTAATCCAGCTGGCGTCCAGCTTTACATAAAACTGAGATGGGGGGGGCATGGCACAGCCCAGTGGGAGGAGCATGCCTGGCCTCTGGGCCTCACACTCACCAGTCCTGGCAGCACCTTGAAGAGCGTCTGTTCCACGACCCCAAAGAGCGGTGCAGGTAGCAGCCTAGGCAGAACAAGATGTGTGAGGGTGTGGCCATCACTTGGGGGAAGCACCTATCTGGCTGACAGATGATGGGGAAGAGCGGGCACTGGGAGCTCTAGATTCCTCCCATCTCCTCCCTTGGCAGGACTGGCTGGGGCTTTGGGTTTAAACCTGGCCATGGACCCTGGAGAGGCCCTTCCCCAACCGGCTTTAGCTTCCCCATCTGCACAACACACACCTTGTAGAGTTGTTGCTGCTAACATTAAATGGCAGCAGAGTCGTGTCTGGTATATAGTCTGTGCTCAATAAGTGTGTCCTCTCTTCGTCTCCCCCAACATTTATAAACAGGTGACATATGGGCTTAGAGCAGGGTCTGGCTCAGAGTAGGAGCTCAATAACTATTTGTTGAATGAACGAATCAGGGGATGGTCTGAGGATGGGAAGTACAAATAGAGGAACTCAGGTCTATTTGGAAACCATGATGTGTAGGCTCAAACACAGGACACCAACACTGTGCTGGGCTTTGCTCTCTCCAAGGCCCCCGCCAGCCCAGAGCAGTAGGATGGAGCTGCGGGAGTTTGGGGAGCCCGAAGTCCCAGCCTGGCATCCCTTTATTAAGATGCTTTGGGGACAGGGGCACCAGGAGTATTCAGTCTGGCTAAATCTATTCCTAGGAGCTAACACAGAGCCATCTGATTACCCTTCCCTCCTCAGGACCACCCAGCAAAGACTGGGGGTGACTGAGGGTGTGGGATTCAGTACAGAATATAGAAACTTACGGAGATACACAAGGTATAAGGCGGGGGCGGGGGGGCGGCTGGAGGTGGATACAGAATTCTGGGGGGAAAAAGCGTTGGGCCTGGGTCCCTAGACAAAGCCACATCTCCATCCCTGACTCAGACTCTATGAACATGACCTAGGGCCTCTCTGGGTCTCAGCTGTCCCAGAGAAATGATGACCCAGAGAAATGATGATTCAACCCAAGTGTAGGGAAGGATAGTGGGTCCTGAATAGCCCAGGAGGTTGAGAGGGTGTAAAGGTGAGGGTGAGCAGGGGGATGCAGGCTTTCCTGAACATCAGATCCAGGCCTTCATTACACAGATGGGGACGATGAGACCCAAAGAGAGGATGGGGCTTCCCTGGTGTCACACAGCGAGTCTAGGGCAAAGCTGGGTGTTCTAATGTGCCCGGACCCGAGACTGGAAACCCTGCATGCAGAGAGACCCTAGAAGGTCCGGGACCTGCTTGTTCTGCCTGGAGGAAGCGGGGAGGCGTCTTGGGGGGGGGGTGGCACAGGCTACCAGCTGTACCGAGAGACTCAATTGGTAGGGACATCAGTCTGCCTGTCTGCGCAGGCGAGGCGGTGAAGGTTTAGGCCCCGCCCAGTTGGTCTCTCGGGCGGAAGCGAGGAGACATCCTAGGTACACACGCGGGATAAAGCCGAACGAGTTAGGGGAGCTGGGGCGGCGAGCTGGAGCCTGCGACTCACCCCGAGACCAGGCTGATGTGACCCAGGAGCGTGCTGCAGCGCTTGACGATGAGGATGGGCGTGCCTCGCGCACTCACGCCCAGCGCCACCCGCGATGACACGTTCACCTCGGCCCCCAGCTGCAGAAGGCTCCCCAGCGGCCTGGGGGAGCGGATGCTGAGGGCGTGTCCAGGCTGCCGGGCCCCGCCCTCCAGGAACTGCCCCAACCACACGCGTGCGCGGGGGCTGCCCGCTGCCCCTCCCAGTTCCGTCTACTAGAGCCCTTCTCCCTCCTGCCACCCCCCTGCCTCACTGCCCCATTTTGAATACCCCTTCTCCCTCTCCCTCATCCCCTTTAGCGATCCCCAGGCTCTGGGGCGGAGTCTGGGGGAAAGCAGAATAGAAGTCCTTTGGGAGGCAATGGGTGGGGCTCCTTGATGGGGCAGTGGTGGGACAGAGTCCTGGAGTAGTGCGGGGGGAGTCTCTTGAGAAGGAAACAGGGTGGGAGTAGGTGAGACAGAGGGGTGGGGGTGGGGGTGAAGGGACAGTGGAGGTGTGGTCCCCAGTGGAGCAGTGGAATGGGTGGGGAGCAGAAGTAAGGTGTGAAGGGCAACTCACCCAGAGCCATGCAGGCCCACCTTGGTGTGCAGGTTCAGCTGCACCCCAAACCCTGGCAGCAGCTTCAGAGACACCTTGGGCAACGTGATCTCCTCGATCTTTAGCCTAATGTGGAGGGTGAAAGAGCCTTCACCCCCAGACACTCTCCAGCGCCTCTTGGTTGTGCATGGACAATCCCAGACCAGACGGGGCCCAAAGCCTGTCTTGAGTGTGCCCGCCTTACCACCTCTAACCCATAGAACCAAGTGTGGACTCTTGGGCCAGTTACTTGGCCTCTCTGGGCCTCAGTTTGCTCATCTGTCTAGTGGGGCTGATGATAGCACCCATCTCACAGGGATGTCCCAAAGACAACATGAGATGATGCAGGTGCAGAAGTTGGTACAGCAGGCAGGAGCTCAATAAAAGCCACACCTTGACCACTGGAGGCTCAGGGAACTGTCATGTTTTCTCCTCACCCGGTTCCCATGGCCCCAGTTCAGCCTCTGGCCTTGATCATTTCTCCCCACCCCCACCTAGGCTCACACAGAGCAAACCATAGAGAACTTGAAGGCAGAGAAGAGGATAAGGAGGGACTGGGCAGAGCCGGGCCCTTTTGAGCAGAGACCTGAAGGTGAGGGATGGAGCCATGCAGATACCTGGATTAGCCCAGAGAGACTAAGCAACTTGCCCAGGTCACATAGTAAGTAGGTGGAATTGACCCCAGAACTGGAACCCTCAACCCCAGTGGCACGACCCCCTTCCTGTCCTTCCTGGCACACAGTCAACTTGGTATTTTCAGAGCAGGATCCTGGGACTCCCTGCCCAGTGCCCTCTCCCACAACCCTGCTCCCCCACCTCCTTACCCCATCCCAACCCAGGCTACCCAGATGTTCTCCTCCACTGCCTGCTAACTAACTAACTAATTAGAAAAAGTCCACCCCTTGTCTAGAGCCTGAAGCAAAGGGCACACCTACCCTTCCCTAGGGCACACATTAAGTGAGCAGCCAAGAGGCTCCACTGTGGGGACTCACCCGGAGAGCTCCTCAACGAC